ATTCGATCCTATTTTTGGACGAATTGGGATTGTTTTCAAGGGAAGAAGTTTTCTCATGCAATGTTTTTATTGCTTTTGCAGTTTTGCTTGTAAGACATAACCACGCCCCAACCCGAAAAGAAAACAAGTGAAAAAAAAATATTAAAGAAAAAAAATAATAAAAAAGTCATGTGCTTTGTTGATTTATCAACAAAAATGATACGGCTTTTTCTAAGAAGACATTTAATTGCCTATTGCAATAATTAAAAAAATAATAATTTTATTGTGCCATTGTCAGGCGAATTTTGACTAGTGTGGTAAAGTCCTCTCTTGCCAAAAGAAATACTAAAAACTACTAGTCAGTAGTTTAGTACAAAATTTTTTTCAATACTTACAAGTTTTAAAAAAGTGGTGTAGCATCAAACAAAAAAAGAAACCCAAAAGAAACAGGGAAACAACAAAGAAATATGGAGCTACCCTCGTAAGTAATAATAATAAACTTCTTTTCTTTTTTTTTTTAACAAGTTACTAAACTACCTCACTTGGATGTGCCAAGTAAGGTAGTAAGTAACTTGTAAAAAAAAAAATTAAAAAAAGTATCAAGGGAAGTATAAAAAAAAAAGTTCAAGTCCCAAAAGTTCTTGGGCAATTTTTCCGCGGTATTACCGTTTTAAACCCATTTTATACTTCGACCTTGTGTCACATTCGGTACCGATGTGGGCGTGCTGAAAAATAAATACTATATTTTTTGTAGGTACATCCATTTGCTCGCTGAAAAACCGCATGTATTGTAGCATGATGTAAACAAAAAAAAACCCTAAAAAAAAAAAAACAAAGCCTTATCGTCAAAATGTTTAAGACTAGGAAGTATTTTTTTAATATTTTATTTTTAATTTTTTAATCTTTTTAGGCGCGTTCGAAATTTTGGTTAAAAATCTCATTTTTTTTTTTTAACGTCAGCGGTCGACATAATTTAATTTACGATTAGTGTTTTTGCGCCTTTTCTCAGTTGAAAAACACATTGGTTTTGCAATTCTTGCAAAAATCAAATAATTGTCGGAATTTAATGAAACTTTCAGGACTTATTCACAAAAAATGAATGAAAAATTACTTTTTAAATTTTTTTTTTTTTTTTTTTTTAGAAAATCTTGATAAAAAATATTTCTTACACATGTTACCCACCACTTTAATTTCATGAATCTTCAAGAAATTAAATTGCAATCTCAAAATTTGTTTTTAAAAGTAGGACTCCTTGGAGAATTTATTTAAATCATCAATTCTTTAATTTTTTTTTTTTTTTTTAAACGAAACCCCAGTTACTGAAAATCTGCTCTGAATCGTAAAAAAATGACATTTAATTGCTTTTAAATATAATAGGACACTCTTAAAGTGTTTATATAGTTAAAGTTATATATTTGTCTTAAAGAAAAATATTTTGAGTGCTATCAATTTTAAAATTTTTTAATTTTAATTTAATCATAACAATTTTTAAATCGTTTAAATTTGACTCATTCTTCAATCCGGTTAGGACGTAATTGTTAAAAAAAGTGAAAACTATATTTACGAATCAAAAATTGAAAAGCTTAATAAAAGTTGTTTGTCCCCAATATTTTTAAAATAATTAAAAAAATTTTTTTTTATTTTTTAGTGTAGAAACCTTCCCATTTTCGTAACTATATCGATGTCCTCCCTAAAACTCTGTTCGTCTGCAATTCTTTCATTATTCATTTCTGTGTTTCATCGTGTTTTTTTATGTCTCAACACTAACAGGCTTTGCAAATCATCCCTTCAAAACAAAATTTTAAACTTTAAGATTTAAAGTAATTTTTACTTTTTTTAATTCTTATTTCACTAAATATTTTTATTTTATGTATTTATTTTAGTGTGAGTCAAGTAACCTGGAAAAAACAGTTTTAGCGTCAAAATTTTTGACGATATAACTTTGTTTTTAAGTTTTGGAATCATTTTTTTCATCATGCTACACTGTTTTTTCAGTGAGCAAGTAGAGGTACCTTAGTTAAACACTCCAGATGACAAATATTTAAAAAAAAAAAAAATTAATTTAAATTTTATAAAAGTTGAGGGTATAAGAGAAACCCGGATATAAAAGAGATTTTCTCTGGTCCCAAATTAGAGCCTGTGTTATAAAATAGACCAAACCCGGATATAAGAGAAACCCAGATATAAGAGACTTCTTCTCCGGTCCCGACAACTCTCTTATATCCGGGTTACACTGTACTAACACACCAAATCCTTGAATAAGGCCTTGATATTGACCCTTATCAACTTGCTGCAGCAGTTACAGACAAAATCCCAGCAGACAAAAACTTAAACTCTTCCCAAAAGTATACAAGTCTCATATATAAAAAGAAACAAATTCAAGGAACTTTTAATTCAAATTTTAATGTCAAATTGAGCCAATAATAATATTCAATCAGTACACACTTGTTTTATGTACAAGAAAGATCAATTTCTGTTGCACACCTCACAAGTTTATGGATCCACTCTTTGCTATAGAAATTAATTGTATATTGACCCAAATTCTAAAAAAGTTTTGTAACAATACTACAGTCATATTCGATATATTTCATAGTTAGGGAGTCCTAGTATCCTATATTGAATCTGTGACCTTAGCATTATTAGAATTTTTTTTTTTAGAGGTTGCATAGATTTCTGTGGATTTATTATGCACAAACATACATACATACAAAAATACAAATTACATATGCCAAGCATTCATTGGTTAATTAATCACCACTACGTTATAGGCAATTTACAAATCGCAGCAATACGACAATTTTGTAATCGCTCTATTTTCATGTAGTCAGTTTTGTGATTTTTTGGGAGAAACGGGTCACAGAAGCTTTCTTAAGTCTCCCCAAAGCTCGCTTGCTGATTGGTCTATGCCAACCAATCAGATCGTCTGCACATGAAGAATAATTCTTCCCACACAGCGCTCTGGAGCCTACAGTCACTTATTTAAGCAAGAGTTTTCTAACCCTCATTAGTGAGATTTCAGCTGCCAAATGAATCCATGACAGTTGAAACCATGCGCCAACCTTCTCACTTACACACACCACTCACATGCTGAACATACCTTGTATATACTCACATAATCTTTTCTTACACAGCAAAAGCTTTCAAGAACAAACATTACAAGAGACTCTCATGAACATTCTTCCAGTGAACTTTGGAACACTAAAATAACAGTTAAAGAAAGACAACTCTTGGTTTATTCAACCTTTTCTTACTTAAATGCATGCTTTCTTTCACATCGTTGTTTGATATTGTACATCTTGTTAAATACATATTTTATGTGTAACAATGTCTTTTGCTTATCTTTTTCTGTGTCAGCCCTGTTTCCTAATCTAAAGTTAAATTAATTGATTTTAGGTTAATTCGAGACATGAACACCCCTGATACTGGTTTATTTTGCAAATAAGAACTTTATTCAAGGAATCCCTTAATTCAGCATACGATCTCCGTTGTGTTTTTTTTTTTTTTTTTTTTTTTTTTTTTTAGGTTTTAGGCGCAAAATTGTTGGGTTTATGTAAAAAAAAAAAAACATGTGTCTCCTGGTATTATTTCCCCCATAACAATTATTGCAGACTCAAATGTGAGTTCAAGTAATAAATGAATAACACAAAATAAAACAAATGACAATGCATGTATTAACAAAAGTATTACATTAATGACAATGAACATTGAAAACATGTGCTATTCCTGTGGTCAAACTTGGTGGCATAGAGCATGGACAACCATCAATCTTCCTTTTTTTTTTTTTCTCCTTAGGTACACTACATTGTCATTTCACCTGCACTTGAAGCTGCACTATGATCGCTTGGTGAATTAATAAAAAACTAAAAACAAACATCACCACCACCAAACTCCCAGGGTACATATTGATGGTCTCTCTGGACCTATAGATATCACACAATGCAGCATCATCTTGCTTTACATGAAGGCTAGCCCTTAATATGATTAGTAGCATTTTGTTTCACTTGCTACACAATCTCTTGCATTCGATTGCTACTGCAAAAAAATATCCAATTTTCATCATGCATCATAAATGGTTTCAAACCTGGAATATTTTAGTTATATTCCAATCTTACACTGACATGTAGTTTTGCTTTGCTTATGTGGAAGTCTTCTGTAAGTAACCTCCTACAATCAAAAATCTGTCTCAGCATTAAATAACCCACAAAGGGTTGATAAGCTGTAAAAAAACAAAAAAAACAAAAGCATTCAAAGCAACTAATATAAACTGGTACAAAGGATTTTGAGTATTTCGTTTTTATATTTAGAGTATGTTGGCTATCTCCCATGTTGTATAATGTTGAATATTCTCAAGCTTTGATTGCTACTTTATGCAGCCACAAAGCATTATTCAGCAATGATATCTCCAGCATCAAACTGCAAACCTCATTTGGCATGGTCCATAATCGGCCAAAATTCCTTTTATGTTAGCTTTTTACTTTGCTTAAATTAAAAAAAAAATGCATATGCTGAAAAGGTTTTACACCCTTCCTCATCTTTAATGTTTGAATAAAAAAAATACACTCATTTTTGCCACATTTTAAAAAATGTGTGCTTACACTACAGTTATTACAATGCAATCATACTCAGTCTTTTTGAATAAAGTTAAAAGTAAATGTTTCTAATGGCATCTATTGACAAAAAAAACAAACCATTTTGGCCAATGAAAGAAAAATCACTGTCTTTACCATATGGGCTAAATAAATAGGAAATGCCCTATATGGTTTACAATCTTCTTTGTTTTGATTCAGTTCAAATAACATGCAAGACATTTATATGTACATAAGTATAAATCTACAGGTAAGAATTCAATGTACTTTTGACTATATTATTTTAAACATGCACTTGTCCAAAGACTTGTATATATCAAAACCAAACTGAGTCTACAATCAACATATTGTTGAAAAAGAAATCTGATTGATTTAATCATTTATTTTGTAACTAAATATTGATTTTTAAACAAATTTTTTTTTTACCACCCCCAGGAGTCCTGGTGAGAGGAAACGTCTCTTTCTCATAGACACTGATCCTGGTCTCGATGATGCCCAAGCCATTTTAATGGCCTTAGCAGTAGATAGTATAAATGTTATTGCTCTTACGACTGTCCAAGGAAATTCTTCTTCTTATGCTAGTTGCCTGAATGCGCTACGCCTGCTGAAAGTTGCTGACAGACTTGATGTGAGTTTTTCTTGATATTTTTTTCATTTATTAACAATAAGATCACCAAAATTACTAGTATGAGAGCACAGTCTAAGCTCTTCCCTATCCTTACAGTAATAATAATAATAAATTATATGCATTTACTGAATGAAATTATCTTGTCATTGTTTCAATCTTTTTCTTAACTATAATTTTCCATGCTGACTGAAACACTATTTGTGCGTAATTAATATAAAATTTGAAATCCTCAAATATGGTTAAGAAATATAATGATGCAGACTTTTACACATTAAAATAAGTTTGAATAAATCATGTAGAAAAACTTTAAAAATATTTCTTTCATTTTAATCTTTATTGAAATTAACAGATTGTCTTTCGCTGATTGCTAATACACAATTCAAATTGCATATAGTGAATAAGCCTCTGATAAAATTTGAACTTGCATATATTATCTTTGAAAACCTGCCTTTCCAATTGTCTTTGGAGAAGTAAGGAATATATGACTAAATTCAGATGACTCCTGCTATTTGGTCTTTGTAGCCTAATCAGTAAAGCAGCTGCATTTGGAACACAAGTTTCTAAGAAAGCCAGAAGCCTATTTTTATTTCCAATCCATGCTGCCTACAATTGTACAACAACAATCTGGGATCTGTCTATATTTGTGAGATGAGGTATTATGTACACTATTTACATTATTTGGACTATTGTCCTCATCTTTGTCACCATATTTATTACAACATTCCGGCCGTTGTACGCTCTGGCCTTCTTCAGGTGGTTGGAATGTCAAACTGAACCCTTTAATTCACTAACTGGGGTAGACTGTTCTAGTTCCACATGCCATGTTTAACAGATGCCAGTTATCAGTTATCTCCTTTTAATTCCCCTCTGCAAGTTCTCCACTGCATTGTCCTTGAGTTCACATGGCACAGTGGATAAAGGTGTTGGTTAAATTCAGTGACAGGACGCAAAGAGTATGAGTTCAATATAGCCATGCCAGCCTCATAACTGTCTAAACTCTCCACCATATCACATAAATACTCATTTGGACTCATGTCAGACAAATGTGGTGGCCAAAATTTTCTTCAAGTCAATTCTCGACAACTTTGGCCTAATGACACAGTACATTCTTCTGGTGGAATAACCCATCATTGTTAAGGTACATGGAGTCCATGAATGTATGTGCAAGTGGTCATGAGTACAGCATAGTAGTAATTGGTCAATTAGGTGGACCAGCAGGCTCAACCCCTGCTATGTGAACATGCCTCCATAACATTATGGAACCTGCATGATCATGAAGACCATGAATGGTTAATTTGCTGTTCATGGTTGGAAATAATGCCCTCTTGGTACACACATGACATTGTAGATAAAGAGATGTCAAATGTCCCCACAGTTTCAGAAATGGAATGTCCAATCCATATAGCATCCACTATCAAGCTCTGTTTGAACTTCAATAATTCATGTTGCCATGAACATCCTAGCTACTAGCTCTTCAGGACAAAGCTGATCTAAGTCAGATTTCCATGATGTCAAATGAAATGAAAACAATTTCATCTAAATTTTCTTTTAATATTACCATATTATGAATTTAGGTTAGCTACATGCTAGTAGTCTACAGTGTTTGTGTAAACATTTAACTTACCAGATACTTCAACTCCTCATACAAAACTCAGGAGATAGGTTTTCAGCCAAGTGCATTATTCAGTTTCAATCATATTAGAATTTAAATGCCATTCATTTTCAGTTTTTGCTACATTTATTATGAAAGAAAATCATGTAAGTAAACTTAAAAACATTTTTCAAAAATATTTTTAAGGTCCACCACTTCATTCCAAATTAGATCTTTTTTTTTTTATTAAATTTCAGCACTTACAATTACTATATAATTGATGATTATAGTAAGTAAAAAAAAATGTTTGAGTGAAGCAATTCATTTCATTTACACTATTTACATTGTTTGGACTATTGTCCTCAACTTCATTGTCTTATTCATGATGTTTCAACCATTGTATGCTCCAACCTTCTTCAGGTGTTATATGTTGGAATTTCAAACTGAACCCTTTATTTCGTCCATCAAGGCAAATTGTTCTAGTACAACACGTGAAAAAGTCCAGAGTGTACAAAGGCCGAAACATCAAAATATGGCAATAAAGATGAAGATACTAGTCCAAACAATGTAAATAATTACAATACTTCATCTTGGAAATATAGACAGACAATTCATTTCAGTTATGATATGAATATCAGATATATGTTGAAATAATATTTTTCTTGTTAGTAACAAGTTACTGACAATCTCAATACATATATGGCTCTCCTAGGGTCAAAGGGCCTTTGTTCACCAAGTTTCATTTTGATTTAGTCTGTAGTTTTGCTCTGTATGTGTGTGTGCGCACACCAAGATTGAAATGATTAAGTAATCTTCTGATTTAAATTACAACTAAACTGAAAATGGAATCCCATTAAGAGGTGAATGTCACAGTAATATTTATTTTTGTTTTAATCAGTATCACCCCATGCAAGGTAGTAAAGCCACTAAGACAGAAGAGGTTACAGGGTGTGGAAGAATTCTGTTATACTAAGCTTAAAATTCTTCTACTCTTTACTGATTTGATGAAAATTTTACAACTTCAAATTATGCTTGTCAATAGGAAAAAAATTTAATTTCACTTTATGAGAAAGTGCTGAAATGTTCTCAAACAGATCCACTTCCCAAAATCTAACCAAATAATTTTTCTTTCTTCCTAAGCCTTCTATTTTTTTTTCTTTTGCTAGGCTGAAAACTTTTCAGCACTCCTTGGTAGATCTTTTATCATTCTTAAATGATGAAAATTGACCTTAAGACATTTTCATTCTTAAAATTAAATCCACCAATCTTGAAAAAAAATTCTTTTCATTTTTTATATTGTACAGCTGTAGTTTTCAACCTTTCTTAGGCTATCACTGGTCTGAGACACCAAGCTTTTGAATCCTGTCTTGCTTGAGGTCAATGATAACATACTATAAATTAGAGAAAAAATATAAAGTTATCAACTTTTATTTTTATCAAGTAGATGCTATCTTTGCCTGCAGCAGATTGCATAAAGGTCATCCATGTCAATTCACCAGGGCATTACACCTACCGACACCGAATTACTTGAAATTTGACACAAATGTTCCCCTTCATGAGTTAAGAAAGTGTGCCAAATTATTTTGTGCTAGACTTTACTGTTCCAATTTTGAAGGGGGTTGTATAATTTTCCTATTTTGCCTCTAAATTAAGGCTGCGTAACGTCACCAAATCTCGGTGTTTTTTTAAAATTTAAAGAAAAATACTTCCATACCTTCAATATTTCTGAAATTTGATATGTAGGGCAAATAAGAAGTGTAAAATACAAATATGTAACTATTTCAAGCTTACACTTGATAGAAAATTTTATTTTGCTCACCCAAATACTCATTTCATTTTTATTATGATTTTCTCCTAAATGAAACAAAATTCAAATATTTGTTTCATGAAAATAATTTTGAAAAATTATTAAAAAATAAAAATTTTAAAAAAGTAATGAAAGCATTTCCTTTAACTATATAAATATGTTAAGTGCCAACTACAAATATTATGTTTTAAAGATTCACATTTATCTTATGACTTTTTTTGAGAATGAAAAAATCAAATGTTTTTTTGTTTCATGAAAATAATTTACCAAAAAGAAACACAAACAGAAAGAATTTCTTTTAACTTCATTTGTTAAGTACGATTTACAATTTTTCTATGCACTATTGATTATCATACATGAGGCAATGTTTACCGCCTTTTAAAAACGATCTATCTGTACAAAAAGTAATCTCTGCAAAATATATTTAAATAATTTTTTTTTTAAATTAATAAAAACGATCTTATTTAATAGCTTAAGAAGTTACTTAGCACAATATCAACATTTTAGAGGTCATGGAGCATTAGGATGATTGTCTTTAATTATAATCTTTCTCGGAAATCCTGCACATACGTAGGAAAAAACTCTAAACTTGGCAGGGTCATATCTTCTAAAGACCCTCACAAAATTTTTTGGTGAACTTGAGCAGGCATTGTAGATGTTAGGCAAAAAATATGAAAATTGAAGAGGACATATTTTCGATAGACTGACCGTAAGGTGAAAAGTTGTTGATTTTGGGGTCATGTATTTGGGCGAGCAAAATAAAATTTTCTATCAAGTGTAGGCTTGGAATAGTTAAATATTTGGATTCTACACTTCTTATTTGCCCTAAATACCAAATTTCAGAAATATTGAAGGTATGAAAGTATTTTTCTTTAATTTTTAAAAAACACTGAGATTCGGCGACATTGTACGGCCTTAATTTAGAGGCAAAATAGGAAAATTATACACCCCCCCCCCTTAAAATTGGAACAGTAAAGTCTAGCACAAAATAATTTGGCACACTTTCTTAACTCATGAAGGGGAACATTTGTGTCAAATTTGTTACCGATATCTCTCTCTGGATCAAGGGCATTTACAATTTAAACTGACGATTGCTGTAAATGGCCTTGTAATGGTATACTCAAGTAGAATGATAAATGTCCTTAATAATCTTTCATATTGTTTACTTTATAAAAATTTTAAGATCTTTTTTTGTCTAGGTATTTCACTAGATTTGCTCTATTCATATACAATTATCAAATAACAAGGTTTAATTTGAAGTTTAGGAACATTTAATGTTACTAGAGAAATTTTGAAATACACTAAAATTTAGGAAAATTTCATTTGATTAAAAATATTTGTTTGATTCATGACTTGTAAAAACCTTAATGCTTTTTTTTTTTTTTTTTTTTTTTTAAGTTGTTAAATTTTCAAACCATTTTTAAAATCTACTTTGGTTGAAAATTCATTGTTGTTGGGTTTATTCTTCTATATTATAATTATGCATAGCATCTTCCAACTCAATAATATTTTCAAATTCTTTCAGATTCCAGTTTTCCCAGGTTGTGAGCGTGCCCTGATTTCTCCAACCTTAACTGCCCCTTTATACCATGGGGAAGACGGATTTGGAGATGTACCAGATAAAGAGGCACCTGGTTTGGATATGGCCCAGAGTGAACATGCAGTTCTTGGTTTAATACGCCTTATCCAGGAAAATCCAGGTAACACTTTGGAGAAAATTAAATTCTAAATCATTTACTGTTGCCAGTAACAAAAGTTCCTTACTTTTACACATCACTATAACAGACCTGCAAACTGATGTTTGGCAAGTAACTTCTCAAAGCACAGACATTTTGAGGCATGTGCTGCTGCTTTTGTTTTCTCCAAAGCTTGCATTTTGCAAATAGAATTTGCAAGTTTTGCAACATTGATTTTTCTAACACTTTTAATTCTAAAGCTTTGTTGTATATGCAACTTAGGTGAAGCAAATTATCATTCAATCCTAACAATTCAACTCTATATCAACTTATTCTGTTATCAAAATACTAAGTACCTTTATAATATATGGGAAACATGATAAATTCAAAATTGTTTTAATTAAATGCACAGTATATTGAAAATGAATAAACAAAAAATTAATTTTTAGAACCATTTTTACTGGTTTCAATTGTTATTTTTTGATGAAATACTGCATTTTTTTTTAAATTACAGGAGAGATAACTCTTGTTGCTCTTGGACCTCTCACAAATATTGCAATGGCAATCCGGCTTGAACCTACGTTGGGCACTAAATTAAAAAACTGTTACATTATGGGAGGTAACTACCGAGGTAAGAATAACATTTCTCTGCACTTAAAAATAGAGGAATAGTCCCTGTATTCTGTTATTGAAAATCATATATTATCTATAATATAATGCATTATATAATACAGTCGCTTGACTAAAGTATGTCATTGAAAAATGTTACATGATGATCTCCAGAATGCACTTCATAGGCAATAGAAATACTTCAATATTTAAATTATGAGAGCTGTTAAGATAATGAAAATTTATCAATTACTTGAATGTGTAAAATCATTTGTCTCTAATTAAAGTTTACAACTTTTCTCCATTATGCAACTAGTTAGATTCAATTGGTTGGGCAAAACTTTGTGTTTAATTTTCCTTCTTTTTAAAAGAAGCTCTTTGTATTATTTTTTTCTTTTGACATTTTTGTTGCTATTTGATCCAAGTGGTTAATTTCCACACTTTTAAACCATGAATGTTTTACAAATAACAATGTTTGTTTGCAAGGAATGGTGTAGATTTTAAAACTGATTTTTGTGTGAAAATATTTTCAGGAATTGGCAATGTAACAAGAAGTGCTGAATTCAACTTTGCTAATGATGCAGAAGCTGCACATATTGTCCTGACAGAACTTAAGTGTCCTATTACATTGATTACCTGGGAATTATGCACAGATATGAAACAACCTCTTGTAAGTTTTAAATGTTTTCATTCTTTTTCTTTTTTTTTTATCTAGACCAATTCCTGTATCTTCAGTTCAATCAATAAAAGTACTTTTATTCCAATTATTGGAATACTTTTATAATGATTCTAACAAGCTTAAAAAGAACTTTTTTTTTTACATTTATACAAAAAACAATGAATAATTTTGACTGTAAATTCTGCAATGAGTTTCATAGCAATGTTAATATTGTGTTGCTCAGAATAACTCCAGTTTTATAAAAAAAAAAAAAAAAATGGGCACATATTTTTATAAATTTCGAATAGTTAATTTTCTGGGATTCTAAGATAAAAATTTAATATTTCAGGATTTTTTTTTAGCAACTTTATATTTTTTTATTCAACTTTATACAAATATTTTCATAGAACTGAAAAACAAATTGAAATATTCAAAATAATTTCTCAGTCTTATGAATTAGTCTGCAAGTAGACATCCACTGTTAAAAGAAAAAAAAAACATGTAAATTAAAACAATTACAAATTGAAAAGATCAACAATTGTGAAAGAACGGTTTCTGATTTCAATATTGAGGCTTTTATCTGACATTGCATGTAACGTGTTATTATAGTAGATACTCATATTTGAAATAGATATCACATTTTTATTTTAAAAACTGTGTATTGCATCTATCAGCTTGTGTAGTTAAGAAATCTTAATAAAAGAAAATGTGCTTTCTGACAGGCATCGGATCTGTATCCTTCTCTCTTTGTAGGAGAAACCACTGTTTAATTGATTTGGCATGCTTTACTACTTGGCTACAAAGAATATTACAATACAGCAAGGCTCTATTTTCCCTTCTAAGGAAAGTATACTTCCATGCTAAGATCGTCCTGGATATGATGATAAACTACATCATCCAGCAGCCTCTGATTGAAAGGTCTTGAGAAGCATGGAACCACTTAATTGCTTTTGTTCCCAGGTCCATCCTGACCTGTTAGTGTCCCAGATATGGGCAAATAGTTACCCCCCCCCAAAAAAAAACTGGGGTCAAAACACTATGAAAGTATAAATATATTTTTATAGTAAAAATATTAGCAATACATTTTTTGAAAAAAAAAAAAAAAATACCAGCAATACATTTGACAAAAATCCTCTTTACAAAAATATGACAATGAAACTTGATCTACAAACTTCTTACAAAAAATACATATTCTATTTATATAAACTTATCCTACAAGTTGGCATTAAATAACCCATTGAGGTGTTATGCTGTAAAACAAAATAAACCAAACAAATCCTTACTAAGATATTTTTCATCAAAACCCATCAAGGCTCAGTTTCATAGCCATAGGTTCAAGTGGTAAAGCATGCTGGATCAAGGTAGTTTCTCCCTACAAAGGGATGCAGGTTCAATCCCTGCCAGAGAGCCCATTTTCTTAAGATTTCTCAAATACACAGGTTGATAGATGTAATGCACATCATTTAAAGTAAAAATAAAAATGGGATGTCTATTTCAAATACGGGTATCCACTATAATAACATTTGAAGTAATAAAAATGTTGGATTAAAAACAAATCCATTAATTCTTTAGAAATACGTAATATGTAGAAAAGTCTAAGCAGCTGATTTCAAATTTCGAATTTAGATCTGAATGACTATTTATTGTTTTTGAAAGTACTTTAAACCCATTTGATGAAAATAAAAGTTGATTTAAAAATCATTGTAATGAAGGTCCCAATATCCATATTTATCTTATGACTTATCTGAACATTTTAAAAGAGTAAAATTTATTGAATCTATTCAGTACCTGAATAATTTTTTTAAATGATTTTTAATTAGTGTTAGAAATGGTTCATGCCTTTTTCAACTATGTCTATTATTATCTAGCAGCAAGTACTTTTCATAAAATGCTTTCAAGTTCATATATGCAGGTATTCCATAAAAGAGAAGATGAAATATATAACTTGACGTAAAATGAAAATCACAAAAAACATTTTGTTCTTGGTAATAATGACCGTTTTTCTCTTCAAATTCTAACTCCTGTCAAACCTTATCATCTGATACAGAACACATTTTAATATTTAATGCAGATCAAGTCTTTATACAGAAGACACAATGACTTTGTTAGTTTCACATGTATTTGGAGAGGAGACAGACAAAATAACTCTCTCAGAGTTGTTACTAAATTATGAAAGCAACCAACACCATAATCCCACCAATAGTTACACTCATTAAAATCCTTACTTGGAAAATGAAATGAACTTTGACAAAGAAATAATTTCTTTTTGGTTATTTGCAGACCTTTTGGGAAAGATTGTTAACTCTGCCAGGCAGGAAAGCAGCCTTTATGCATAACATCCAGAACAATGTCAGGAGACGGAAAGAAGATTATGGTTTTTACATCATGTGTGATGAACTTGCTATGGCTGCAGCCATTAATGAAGAGACCATCTTAGAAAGTCATGCTGTTTATGCAGAGGTTGAAACACAAGGAAAAATTACGAAAGGACAACTCGTTTCTGACTGGAGAAACTCCACAGGTAAACAAGCAAATGTTCGACTTGTTACAAAGATGGACATAAATCAAGTAGAGGAGCTCTTAATAAACACTTATAATGAATAAAAGAGACTGGATATTTTGAGCCAAAACTTTTGGTCTGTTCACTTGAAATTGGAAAAAATGAAGAAATCAGAGACCTTTTTTTCTTAATTTTTTTTTTTCTGAAGAATATCAAAAATTTTGTCTCTTCCTTTTCCAAGAAGAAAGTCAGTTTTCAAATAGTAACATTGCAAAACTTATTAAGCAAATGGCATTTTTGTTCAATAAAACCAACAACAATGCAAAATAAATCTTTCTTCTGGATGCAAACATAATATCTGCCTTAGATTATGGTCTTCGTTACATCTGAAAGTCAATCTGCAGAGGCACTTCTACGAGTTCAACTAAAGTAGCAGATTATATGGCGATTCATTTGAATCCATTATTCAAAATGTTTTTATCGCTGGATCTGCTGACCTTCCTCAGCTGTTACATTCAATAACCTTCTGAAAATGTCAAACTATTCTTGATTTCATCTACAAAGTTGATATATTGCTCTCATTCTTTTTCCCCCCTGTCACATCTTGTGTTCTAGGGAAATTTCAGAATCCATCATTGACTTTCTGAACTGATATTTCTGTGCTTTCTGTCTCAAGAATTGAACACCAACCTTAAAAAACTCTATCCACTAGGACAAGTCTTGTAAGACACTTGGGCAGAGATTATCCCCCAGCACCAAAGTTTACAACTTACTGCAATAACAGCTGCCTTTGAACCACAGCAACAAAATCAGAGACTATCATATGCCAGTAACTTCAACATCTTGGTAGTAGACCAACCACCACCATTTCAGCCAATGTCATTGAGAAAATCAAGAAATTACCAAGGCTAATTTATGATCAAACTTCAGCACATGCTCTGATAATATGTGTTAATGTAATGTTCAAATTGGTAAGCTGAGAATAGATAGCAACACAATATGGAAGCTACTGATTAAGAATGAATAGACATTTAACCTAAAGTTCTAACAATTCTATAGGATATGGATGAGTAGTTAAAGTGCAGGTAAAATTTGTTGACTTCCCTAGAAGTCCTGAGTTCAATTCTTGTGTCAGGTAGTACAGAAATATACACCAGCTCAGTAGTGAAACAAATTGACATCATAGGAAAGATTTTGAAATTCCCTAGGACACCAGATGTGAAGGGTGACTCTGTGGATCAAATAAAGGGTTTGTTTAACTTTTCTAGAAGTTTATGAATGAGACTGACCACGAATGGTCAAAAGGTAGAGTTGATAACAAGAAACATGTGAATGAATCAATGTAGAATACAGAGGAAGCCATTTATTGTGATCATTTCAGATAACAATAACTGGCCAATAACATTAAACAGAGGAGAAACAAATTGAAACAATTGTAACAATTCATTGTTATAAACAACTTTACATAATAAAAGAAAAATCAATATGAAATTTACTCAGTCGAAATTATTTTTTTTCTTTCTTTTTTTTGAGTTCAGGGTTTTGATAGATAGTTTCCTCTAGAAATTTAGACAAAGTAGTAAATATTTGTCAAAATTAGCTTAACTTGGTACAAGGCCATAATAGTGGAGCACTGTATGAAGATTGAAATTGACAGCAATGGCTTGCAAGACTAGTTTGTTAATCATTACTTATCAATAAGTGTCCATTTCAGCAAATTAAATCCATGTCGTGGTGAAGGAGTTGTAAATGTTTCTGCCATTGTAGCTGTGAAAAGTTTTGTTGATATTAAACAGATTTTATTTATGAATAGCAGAGAAAGATTTTGGTTCATAACAGAAGAAATGGATGATAACTAGTGATGGTAGATTCTCCTATTCTTGCATTTATAATTAGTCACAAGTCAAAAAGATTGCTTGTCATTTTCTCTTTTGTAAAAAAATGCTTGGAATATTTTTTTTTTTTTTTTTTTTTACTGAAAATCAAACTCACACCATATTTCATTTGATTGGCATTGTAATCAAGATTGTAATAGCTTGTGAAAAATTTTCAGCTCTATATATAAAGACTATGTCTCACCAAAAGAAAGTCAATATTTTCACTCAAAAACTTGCTAAATAAGTTGGACAAAATCATGAGTTAAAGTTTTAGATTTGTTTTATGACATGTTTTGGTTGCAGTTTATCTGTTATTAAAAATATCGGCAATAAAAATTATATAGAAAAAAATTTTCATATCACTTGCATAAGCAATTATTAAGTCGCAAGTTCAATTTTTGCAGTGATTCAATGTGTTTTATTTAATTTTTCTGTGAAAAATTAATAATTTTTAATACCTTAAAAAGTATTTAAAAAATGCTTTCCCATTCTCTTTTTAGCATTAGCTAAAGAAATTCAAATATTTTTCAAGTTATTTGACATCTACAAGTAGAGAAAATGATTTACAATTGAAACTAAATATTTAACTATACTTTCCTTATTAATGAGTGTCACTGCTTCATTTTTTTTTTCTATTTTATTTTTAAAAACGTATTCATTTACCATTTGATGTTTCCAATATTGTTTGTTCAATTTTTTTTTCAAAAGCAACAGAGAAAACCAAAGAATTGTTGACAGGGTTTTTGTTTATACAAGTTTTCAAGACGTAAATATCAGAGAGCTTTTCTTAGTTAAATACAAGGCCACAATTATGGTAACTCCAGTGAGGACAAGATTCAATAGTAATAACTTACAAGGTTTGCTTACAAATCATTATGCTGGTAGGCACCTTTTGTTTTTACACATTGTAAACCACTTTACACTGCACCTAGTGTTGTACTTTGCAAATGAAAATAATTTGACAAAATACAAACATTTAAAAGCATTTTCATTAAACAATAGATAACAAGTTATGCTTTTATAACATTAGCAACTATACTATTCCTAAACTGTTTATATTAGCAGCAGTTAAGATGACAACTGGTTGTACTGGTTTCACCATTGTTTCTAAAAACAGCTTTATTGAGAGATTAAATTCTGACAAAGTCAATTTTAATACTGAATATTGTGAATGGTCAGATGTACTATGGTTTTATTTTGCATATTTTCCAGATAATAATCTTCATCTTTATTGTTTATATATGTTCAACTAGTCTTAACCACTAGATGTGACATACACTTGAGTTTTTAAATGATTTGCTCCAAATGACATCTTAAAACTGCTAGATGCCTGAAGACACCTGAAGGAAACATTACTTGAAATATAGTAAAAACAATAATAATATTCTAAAGAAATCTATACTAATGAGAACTTTTTACTTCAAAACAGTTAAGGTAGTTTTAATTTGGGAACCAAAATATATTATTTATTGGAATTATAGAATGAAATCCAAAATAAATCATGACACTTTGTAATAGAGTTTAAAAAGAAGCTTTAACATTTATTTAGCCTTCATTTCTAAACTCCACTTTTGCAATGCAAAAGGAAAATAATCTGGACTCTGATTTCCTTTGAAATTATTAGTTATTTGCCTAATCTTCTGAATACAAGTTGAAATTTAAACATGTGTTAGACTCTTCATCTGTTTTCAAAAACAAACTTTAATAAACCTATTTTCATAGAAAAATGATGAATAAAAGAAGTAAAGAAAATATTTGCAGAATTTTTACTATTTCTATAAAATACAAGGGTCATCTCTAGTGTACTTGATACTGCATAGCTCAAGGAACAAAATTTGGGGGAATTGGTCCAGATTGGCAGTGTTTGTTTTTTTTCTTAACTTGCAGACCAACAAACTCGAAGTATGACCATAGCTTTCTCTTTATAAAGATTTATCTTAAATCATTAATACTCGCCATTATGAATAATAAGCAACAATTTGAATAGAATTCTTTTAGCAGTTGTACTAAAAGTGCTGATTCAATGTAGAAATTCTTTTTTTCTGACATAAAACTAAGTCAGATTGTGCTTCAGAATTTGTTTCTTATCAAAATGAACTAACAATGTTGATAAATTAAGATCAACCTATATGCAAATTTTTATATATATGCAATATTTTTTATATGCTTCATTTTGAAAATGATTTCTCACTAAATATGTGTTAAATATAAAAATTATTTGTCAGGCAAAAGCAAAATTTGAATATTTTTCTATGCTTAATTTTTTGACATCATTTGAGAGTTTTCTTGGATTAGTAACCATTTTATTTTCAATATTTTTCAAAAATGTGTGTGGGTTGTAAGAAAGCACTACAACAAATATCAGTTACATTTTTATATTGAGAAAATTCTGAGGATACATAACCTTGCTGACCTTATTCAGCTTTTGACCATTTTTGTTTTTATTTTCAGATAACAGGATTTTCCCCACGTTGCTATTCAATTACCCATAATTAGTCTGATAAATCGTATATCATACTCTTCCATATTATTTATTGTATAATCTTCAGTCATACTAGATCTAAAAAGAAAAGACTATAATTTATCAGATGCTCTTATCCATCAGGCTACCTAAGTGGAATGCTTCTATCCATCAGGCTACCTAAATAGAATCTTACTGTATATAGCTGAGAATTTCCCAGCATGAAAACCAAAGTTTTTTCATTTTTAACTTTTTTTTTTTTTTTTTTACCTCATTGCAATTTCTATGAAGATGGATTAAAATTTTTTTTAAAAAAAGTTTTTAGCAAATTTGTTCAGTCAGTAACATCTACATAAAACTTTTTAAGGACTTACTATTGTAAGCAAGGAAATTCTTTTTCTCCAAATGGAAAACAATGTTATTCAGATTAGTTTTCAAATTTTTGTGGTTTTCAACAAAAATAAATTTTGAAAATTTGAATATCAATTTTTCCAAAAGTCTACTTTTACAATTTGAAGAAAAATAAAGTCCAATCACAAATTATGGAACATACTAGATAATTTAAATGCACATTTAGATAAGATAATTCTTTATTCAGGTTACACGCAGCCTCTAAAGCAATGTGTTTTTAGCTCTGAGAGAGAGAAACACACGTATACACAATATGGCTACCACAGTGTTTTAAGAGAGTGCTTCTGAATAGTCAAATATATCTGTCATTACCATGTCCTTGATAACTAAATGCTAAAAGACAACTTGCAATAAG